AAGAGAGAAGGAGGGAGGGAGAGAGAGAGAGAGAGACAGAGAGAGAGAGACAGAGAGAGAGAGACAGAGAGAGAGAGACAGAGAGAGAATGTTTGTATATGTGCTTCTGTAAACAGAACTACTAAGAAAAAATTATGGTCATTTCCTCTAATACTTTCTTTCTCTCTCTTTTTTTAAGGTCAGAATTTCCTGTTGCTAGTCACAAAGATGCTTTTTATTTTTAACTTCTTGTTTTCCCCACTTCCAACCCCGGCACTGATCTGCCTCCTGACGTTCGGAACAGCCATCTTCCTGTGGCTAATCAACAGACCTCAGCCAGTTCCACCTCTCATTGACCTGAACAACCAGTCTGAGGGGATTGAGGTAATTCTCCTGCCATCTCTAGTTTGTTAACCTTGATTGAACACAAACTGAAATTGAAAACTGGGTATAACCTAGGAAGGAAAAGAACCTGGGAAAATAAACCGTCAATCCACAAATCTGAATTTCTTTGACTAGCACGTTTCCATTGGAACAAAATGAAACCATTGCTGGATCCTTGGATGGTTTATCTAGATCAAGGGTTGGCAAACTACACCTTTTTAATGCAGCTGGAGAGCTAAGACATTTTAAAGGGATAAATTGTTTTTAAAGGACAGTTTATATATGTTCCATGAAGCCTAAAATATTTACTATCTAGCTATTTAGAGAGCAATTTCACTAGCCCCTGATCCAGATGATCATGAAAACATTTTTAAAGAAATACCCAGTGTCCAAGAATGGTGGAGAATCACTTTCTCAAGTTCAACGTTCAGTTAACATTTGTTCTTCACACTGGTGGAAGTTGATGCAGGCTCATTTGTCTGGCTTTCAGTAAGATGTTCGGCTTCCTCCTGAATCTCTGAGAGAACTGAAAGTCCCATGGATGCTTTTCCCTTTCCTTCTGCTCCCATGAATCACATCATCCGCTTTCATCTTATTCCCTCTTTAGAGCATGCCTTATTCCTGCGCCATTGCGCGCTGACCCCTTGTAGTCTTTGGGCAGCCTTCTTTCACCTGCTCGGGCATCTCCCTTCAGGGTTCCTCCGCTCTCCATCCTCCCTTCATCTTTTCGGTGCATTTCCACATTTCTTCACTCCCACCTCCCTACCTCGCTGTTCCACACCACCCTCTCCTTACAGTTCTTTTCTTTTTCCCACTAGAGCCCTTTAGGAGCAGTCAGTTAGTTGATTTCCTCTTGTGAACTTCAACTCCAAATCCGGAGCCTGACCTTTATCACTCCCTTTTCCTCTACAGTGCTCTGGTCATTTATAAGCGAGTTTCTAAATTCATGGATTCCTCCTGCCTTTCAACTAATTTGAGACTTCTTTCTTGAAACTCTGTCTTTACCCTTCGTAATAACCTTCCATGAAGCATCTTCCCAATCCCAGGGGCGTACATCCTCCTCAGTCATTCAGGGTCTGTCTTCTCCTCCACGGGTTTCCCTCTAAAGCAGGGAAATATACTTTCTAAGGGCCAGGAAGTAAATAGTGTACGTTTTGTGGGCCATATGGTCTCTATTACAACTAAATGCTGCTGTTGTAGAGTAAAAGTACCAGAGAATATGTAAATAAATGAGCATCACCGTGTTCCAATAAAACTTTACTTATAAAAACAAATGTCAGGCCAGATTCAGACTGTAACCTGTCAACTCTTATTCTACATTGTCTCAGCAGAGAAAACATCTGATATTACTGTTGAGATTACTCGGCTGGTAAAGGTGCTCAGTGTGCAAGCCTGGTGACCCATGTTGTGTTCCTAGAATCCATGTAAAGTTAGAAGAAGAAAGCTGTCTCTTCAAAACTGTCCTCTGACCTCCACACATGGGCCATGGTGTGCATGCCCATACTCATATCATGCACACAATAAAAAGTTTTAATTTAAAAAAATGTACCTAAAGACTGTGATACTCAAATCTTACTGTCTATCTCTGACCTCAGTGATGCTCGAATATCTCAAACTCTTCATGGTTCTGTATTTCAGTTTGCCCTTTGTGCATGCACATGCACATATACACACACACATATACATACACGCACTCACACACATACACACATACAGTAACTCATACACATAAACACACATACACTCACATGCATACACATACATATATATACTCATACGTACATACATACACTCACATACACTCACCCATATACATGCATACATATATACATTCACATACACACATACACATATACATTCACATTCATATACAGACATACACACATACACACCTATATACACATCCATAGACATACACATATGTACACACACATATATGTACATACACACTCCCACACACATACACACATGCATACTTATATACCCATACTCATATACATGCACACACATACACATATATACACTCACACTCATACACACATGTGTGCATATACACACATATACTCATATATACACATGTATTTAAATATGCACTCATACATGCACACACATACATAAACATACACACAAATGCACACACACCCTTTCCTCTTCTGTTTCCATTAAACTAGCTCTTCTTATCCAATTGCTTAAAGTTAGGCTTCTGAATCCTCTTTGATTCATCCTTTTTCCTCCTCCCTCACATGTCTCACTGGGCAAGGGCTCTGTTTTTCATGTCTTAATGTGATAACTCATAGAAACCTCCCCCAACATTCTTAGCTAAGTCAGATTCTTTGTTCCAGCCTCAAATGCTCTCTAGGTTTTTATAACCCTTATCTTGGCTAGTAACTTGCATTTCAGGGTGCGTATTTGATTGATACCTGTTCTATAGAACTTTCATGAGGGTTGAGCCTTGCCTATAACTTCTAAACTCCAGGACACAGATCCTGTAGTTTACCCCAAATCCATGTGTGCCCCTTTCTGCTCCCTTTTTGACCAGGGACCTGATCTGCAGCTGCCCACTGGGCTCTGTGCTGGATTTCCCACATGCTGTCATTCAGGCTGATCTTTTCACTCTGGATTAATTTTTCCTTTGTCTCTCCTCTGCCTTGCCCTAACCACATGTTTTTGATAAATGCCCACTTATCTTCAAGGCATCTATTAAAATATTTCTTCTCTATAACCTTCCTACTTTGTATAGAATTGTTTGCTTCATTTGTTTCCCAGAGAATATATTTATTTTTAGTATTGCATGTATATCACAGTATTATATTTATAGCTGTTTCCATTACTACCCACTCACATTCCCCAAACCCTAGTTTATGAGGTGTTCAAGGGAAGCTATTTTATCTTAACTCCCATCAACAATATTTACCTACTGACAGGAACATATAGCATGGTACATTTAGTACATGCTTAAACTTTATACAATTAAAATTATTTATTGTTTTTATTTTATGCGTATGAGTATATTGCTTGCATATGTGTAAGTGTACCCATGTCATGCAGTGCCTGTTGAGGTCAAAAGAGGGTGTTGGATCCCTGGAACTGGAATTATGAATGGTTGGTAGCTGCCATGTGGGTGTTAGACTGGAACCAGGATCCTCTGCAAGAGCAACCAGTGCTCTTAACTGCTGAGCCATCTCTCCAGGCCCTTCATAGGGGTTTTAAAGATATAAAACTATATAGCACCTCTCTTCTGTATATGTGTATCTCTATATGCATAGTCATGTGGTTAGGGGGATTACCAATACATAATTTTGACAATCTCTTGATGGTGAGATTATATGTAATTTTTTTTCACTTTTTTTCAAGTCTTCTTTATGCTTATATATTTACCAAATTTCTGTGTTGTGACCATACTACAACTTTGAGGTTTTAAAAATTGTCTGGGGTAGGGGGACATTGAGATGCCTTTAAATTTTTTAAATTAACCCAGCATGGAAGGAGGGGTTCATGGGGCTGTGCTCCTCCATAGGGAACTATTGAAAGGTATGTGGGAACAGGGAGTCAGTATATTCAATGGTGTAGCCACTGGTGAGTGGCCCATGACCCACTGGGCAGCTTTTCATCCATATTCATGAAGGCATCCTCCTGAAAACTCAGTGGATCACAATAAAAATGACATGGAAGCGGGAGGGGGAATTGTTTGTTGGAAGAAAGAGGGGTTGGAGGGGTCAGAGAGGGTGAGGGAGTAAGTGTGATCAGACTGCATTATATACATATATCAATGATAAATTTAATTTTAAAAACTGACAGAGGAAGATATATCCCTTTGACCTCAAAAATCATTATTTATGATCTCAATCTATTAAGTTTTAAAGAGGAGAGAGAGAGAGACTCCAACTCTTCCTAAACTTGGTCTTGTATCTTAGGGAGGAGCGCGGAGGGGCGCTTTCCAGAAGAGCAACGACCTAATACTTTATTACTTCTCAGATGCCAAGACAGCGTATGAAATTTTCCAAAGAGGACTTGCTGTGTCTGGTAAGCCATGCCACCCTGCCTTGCCTGTAAGAAGCCTGAGGTGGTTCTGTTTCATCCTCATCCTCCCTGTCTTACTTCTAAAACTCCAGCAGTTTAAAGGCTGTGGTTCAAGAAGAATCACAACACACAGTAGAGACAATAAAGCACAGTATCCAAATGAGTGCTGCTGGAAACACTGTAAAACTCGCATCTTCCATTTACAGCTGTGTAACCTGATACAAACCATTTTGCTTTCTAAATCTGCTCCTCAGCACAAGAAATTTCCCTGCCAGATGTGAAAGGCTTGATCATGTGTAGGGAAGCACTGCGGTGAACTCACCAACTCAATGCATTTGTTTAAGAGCATCCCTTCCATGAATTTCCTTGAAGTAAATTCACATGGAGGATCTGGGTTAGGGTTAGCAGCTGGGACTTCTTAACTCCAGCATCATGCTCCTGGGTCTGCCATCATGGTTATTATCACAGAAGGAAATTAACCCTAGGCTTTGAAGCCTTGTCCTTTTATTAAACATAGTGCTAGATACTCAAGTTTCCTTTCCAAATTGCCTAAGTTGCAGCTCTCTCTGTCTTCTTTCTTATAAGTGGCATTCTGCCAGGTATTAGTCTGTGTGCTGTTCATCTCTCCCACCACTTCTGCCTGTTAGCTGTAAAATGACCAGGTCAGTCGTTATACAACTGCAAGTACAAACTGCAACTGCTACACGCATTATCTACTTAATCATTAGCTAATTACTGTGACTTGTAATCTTATAGTTCAGAAAATGGAGATTCCCAGAACTAGGAAGAATCAGGGTTGATACTTATCTAAGCCTGAAAGTTTTGGTCTGATAGTTCTGTATTAGCTAAGCTCTTAAATATTTTAACAAAAAATAGTTAACGCCTCCATATGAAAGATTTATTTTATTTTTTAGCCCTCATTTAAAAAATTACTTATTTTAACGTTTCATTGTACATACTCATTGTACATGGTACCATTACATTAAGAACATTTTCAAACAAATATATCATATACGTGGAACATACCACCCCCAGTTTTCTCCAGTATGTAAACTATGGAGATCAGTTCCTTATAAAACTAAAATTAGATCTACCATATAACCCAACTGTACCACTCCTGAGTATTTAGACAAAGAACTCCAAGTCACCAAATGAGATACTTGTGCATCAATGTTTATTGAAGTATTCACAATAGCTAAGTTATGGAACCAAAGAAAACAGAGGAATCAGCCAGGCATGGTGGCGCACGCCTTTAATCCCAGCACTTGGGAGGCAGAGGCAGGCGGATCTCTGTGAGTTCAAGGCCAGCCTGGTCTACATAGCAAGTTCCAGGACAGCTGGGGCTACAGGGAGACCCTGTCTCTAAAAGACCGAAAAAAAAAAAAAAAAAAAAAAAACAGAGGAATCAAGCCAGGTATGGTGGCCATGCCAATCCCAGCACTTCAGAGGCAGAGGCAGGTAGATCTCTGTGAGATTGAGGTCAGCCTGGTTTACATGGTGAGTTCCAGGCCAACTGTGGCTTCAGGGAGACCCTGTCTCAAAAATAAGGAACACCTCACAAAAGCATAAAAACAAAAAACAGAGGGACAGGTAAAGAAAATTTGTGTTTGTCATACAAAGAATGAAAGGAAAATAGATGCAATTGGAAATAATCATATTAAGTGAATTAAAGACAATACATTTTTGTCACCTGTGGTTCCTAGATTCTGCATAGATACATGTAGTCATGTATGTATATATGAAAGGCTCATAGTAAAGAAAATTTCTATGAGAAATCTCCACAAGTGCCCATGCATAGTAAATCAACATCCGTTTGGATTTCATGTAAATAACAAAAAGCAAACCAAAGAGATCCTTTACTTCAGATAGTAGATGGCTAAAATGGAATTTCTTTGGTGATGCTCTGACTTTAAGAAGTTCTATTATGTAAATGCAGGCTGCTTTTGCAATGAAAACTAAATCACTCAGCATGTGGTATGTGACAGAGAAGATACTTCATTTAGTTATTATTTTTTTCAATTTTAAAATAAAATGAAAGTGGTGGAGTTAAAATAACTTTACAAGCAAGCTTGGCAAATAGCTTGGCTACTGCCATAGAGAAATGACATTTCTGGTGGTGTCTAGGCTTGAATGTACAAGATGACCTATTCACTCCTGGTTGGTAATTCATTTATGTTGACAATCTTCCAGGAATACTGTTTAAAACACCTAACCCCTAGTTCCACCTCAGCTCCACCAAGTCAGAATTCCAAAAGATGGGACCTAACAATTCCTGGGATGTGTTAACACTATGAAGCTTCCAGGGATTTGCGCACAGAGTTTAAATTCTATTTAGCTCTAGGTGTCTACCTGGTCAAGAAGCTCTGGACACTTGGATTCTATGGAGATGGCCACACCCCAGAACCCAACCAAGTCTGAGTTGAGTAAGTTTATCAAGGTGGTCAGGAGTTGGCCTATAAGCAAAAGTTGACCAGGACACAAAGTTTAATGAGGTCTGAGTTGCTGCCCCTTTGGGCCAATTATTTCACTTGTTCCTTGGCTAGGGGCCTCTGCCAGCATTTTCATTAATCAGGAAATAATGATGAGTAGGAGAATTTCTTCCACATCTGTGGACTCTGCCTCTTACTGTATGGGCTTGAAGAAGCTGCCCTAGTCCTTCATTATTCTAAGTCCAATGGGAATGATAATAGACGGGAAGACCAGGCATTAATGCCTTGGGAAGGCATAAGGATTCAATCAACAATAATTGTCATTAGTGACTAATGTCAGGACAAAGGATTTCATTGGTGGGCCCAGAGACACAGCCCTTGGGGATCAGTGACTGTGATCAACTGGCAGATCAGGACTTGACATACTCTAAGGAATATTTTGGACTGAGGTTTTACTTCTTGAGCTTTCCTGAAGCTGTTTCGACGGGAAGAAAACAGTCTCTGCCTTCATTTTCCCTATCTCCTTAATCAGAATCTCTCTTTCCTGCTTTTCTTCCTTTTTCCCTTATCACTCAGTTGAGTTTATTTATTTTCCCTTGAATTCCTAGTCATGATTCCTTTGGGCAAGACCTGAATTCCTCTCAGCAATATGGCTAAGTTCACAGACTATTTTTTTAAATTTATTTTGGTAGTGATGAGGATTGAACCCAGAGCCTTGTGTATGGTAGGTCAGGGTTCTACCACTGAGCCACATCCTCAGGGTCTCTAAGACTTAAGTTTTAAGAAAGACTAAGTGAGATGTTTAGAAGACTGAATTCTCTTATTGCCCAATGTAAGACACAAATTCGAAGAATCTCAAAGGCCAGCATGTGTTCTTGTAGTTCTTTTGTAAGCCTCTACATCTTAGAAGATACTCTCAAATAAACAAGTATTGTACATAAACAGGTGATTCATGAAAATAGATAAAAATGTAAACATAAGAGAAAAGATCCCATTTTATTAGCTGCTAAAAGAAACAGATCCAAATAATAACTTTTCAAATCTGTCAAGCCAGAAGTCACTTTTAAATGACACTGTTTATTGTCTATGGGTGTGTGTTAAAACTCAAAACGTCAATGGTAGGACAAAGACACATGTTCACAACAGGTGTGACCAAAGTCCAACCACTTCACATCCCTCTTATTTCATACTAGGGAACCATTTAAGAAACTATTCTAAATTGAAATGATCAATTTGAACATATTTACCATAGCATTCTTGAGTGTCTCAGAAACTTGGAACCATCAGACATATGTCATCTACTGCAGAGTCCTTCATCAGATGGTCATTGAACTTTAGATGAATTTGGAGAAGGAAGCAGGACACCAAATTATGGTTGTGCTCATTCCGAATATGTGGGTGAGCATATCTTTGTAAAGCCATGCATAGGAATGATGGAAGGAAATATTATTAATAACCATGTGATAAGAATAATGATTCATAGTTTGATTTTTATGCTATGAGCATATTTTTATCATAGGAATGATCAGTCTCTCTCCCAGTGCAAGCTGTTTGTGTTTAACTGTAGACTTTAATTTGTTCATGTTACATGGGCTAGTCCATATTAGTTGACTGAATACCTATGTTATCTCAGGAGCCATGGATTCAATACTGAACTGCCTCTGTTTTATGACATTTCCTAAACATTTTCCCTTGAATTACCTAGACACAAGAGACACTCAATTATTGCTGGACTTACCTTTCTGTCTTCACTTCTTCTGGTTGTTCTTCTATTTTCTCTGGTCCAAAGGATTTGCAGCAGGAATTGATTTACTTTTAATGTTGTACTTTTTTAGACAATGGACCCTGCTTGGGATACAGAAAACCAAATCAGCCCTACAAATGGTTATCCTACAAACAGGTAAGTCAAGCCTAAAGTTTTGGAAAAATTAGTTTGCTAACATAGTATCCTGAGCTAATTGGGTCTTCTCTTCATCTTGACCTCTTCTCCCTCACCGCCTTTCTCTCTCATAGGTGTCTGATCGAGCAGAGTACCTGGGCTCCTGTCTGTTGCATAAAGGATATAAGCCATCACCAGACCAATTTGTTGGCATCTTTGCTCAAAATAGGCCAGAGGTAACCACGCTGAAGATAACTAAACAAAATGATCTCCCCTAATCCAGTGTCCAACATTTGATGATGACTTGACAAAGCTATTTAAAGATTTTATAATGCTTATTCCTCTACTCAGAGGAGTTAGGCTTTGGAAACTCCTTAAATCCCAATTGAACATCTGGTGTTCTAGTCTGAGTGGTTGAATTTCACTCCCTAGTCCAGTGTGGATCATAGATCATTTTAAGTCAGTCTGATTTTCATATGAAGAAAAGGAAGGCATTATTAGGGATGGTTAAATAAAATCTCCAAGGTGTTGTAGAAAGGGATGAGTTGGTGTTATTATTAGAATTTGCTCCTTGTACTTGACCTGGTAAATCCATAGCTACTGAGTCTGGCCATCACCATCTTTCCACAGTGAGTTGGAAGTAGATGGTTTGGAGCTAATCATATGTTCAAGTTCCAATAAAATCATCAGGCTACATATCCTCAAGAAGAGTCTTTATGGGACCCATGAAGTCATGAAAGTCAGTTACTTTAGCAAGATATTAGGCTAATCCTGAAAAACACTATATGCCCAAGTTTGGGAGCTTTAGTAAGAACCTTACTCTAGTATAGGAACTTAAAATCAAATCTGGTGTACTAGTCTGCTTGGATGGCCATAATAAAACATGAGGTTAAGGTAGCAGCAGTTTGCTTTCTCCTGAATCCTCTCACATTGGTTTTCAGGTGGCTAGTCTCTCATTATGTCCGCACGTGACCTTTTCTCTGTACACATGCATCCTTGGGGTCTTTTCTCTTCTTGCAAGGACACCAGTCCTATTGAAGTACTGCCCTATTCTTATGTCCTCATGTAACTTTAATTGCCTCCTAAAGACCCTATCTCAACTACAGTCATATTGGGAGTTAGGGTTTCAACATGAGCTTGGACCAAGAGTGTGGGGGCACGGATCATGGCCAGAAGATTCTGTCACTCTCATGATACTCTTCATGCTTGCAAGTGCATAGACATAGTGTCATGGTTTTCTACCTTTGTTCATTCCCCTCTTATTTAGATGCCTTCCCTGCCTTTGTCTTCATGACCAAATCCTAAAAGTCTTCTGTCCAATTTCCCTTGCTTCCCCCAAAGCAGCCCTAGATAACCTTGACCCAATCCTTGAAACTGATTTCTGCTTCCCAATATCTCCCTAATGCTCTTATGGGTGGAATGGTCATACTCTACCTTGCCTCTGTACCTGTCTTATCTCACTTATTTAAGAGTCCCTTAGAGCAGGATCAGTGGCAGTCCGTGGCCAGTCCTCCAGCTTTATTTTTAACATAAAATATGCTAAATAAATATTTATTGTTTCAATGACTGAATTAATGCTCTTCTAGGACTTAACTTGAACTTTTCTCTCTACAGTGGGTCATCTCTGAGTTGGCTTGTTATACATATTCCATGGTAACTGTTCCCCTGTATGACACCTTGGGATCAGATGCCATCATATATATTATCAACAAAGGTAATAAAACTTTGCTATTACATTACAACTCTATTTTCCTAATGCTGAGTAATTCTTCAAGTTCTACTTTTTTCTTCTCTTTTCCTTGTCTTTTCTTAATTTTTTCTGGCTTAAGGTCAGAAAAACAAATGTTTTAGTCTTTCTGGTCCTATAATACGTAGGATATAATTTAAATGGAAATTACAAAGCTTCCTATAAGACAAAGTCATGCTTAAATAAAAGCTTCAGCAAAATCCTTCAAGATAGCATAGGATGCTAATATGTTTAGAGATAAGACTACTTTGGACACCATGAATTAAAGTCTAGAGTGGTCTTGGCTAAATCATAGCAGACTACAACATTCATTTCCTACCTTTTGTAAGCTCAAGTTAGTGCAGCTAACCAATACATCCCAATATTCATAAGTCTATAGAAGAAAATTACCATTGCCAGAGAAACAAGACCAAGTTCTGTTGGGCAAACAGCATGCCTTTCACATATCCTGGATAGTACTTTTTGTTTCTAGATTGGTTGATTGGGGAGATTCACTTGGACAATAGAAAACCATAGAAATTTTCCATTTCTGAAGACAAGTATCAAAGAAAATGGCAACATTTAGAATCATAAAGTGTTTGACTATAAAGTTTCATTTGCATCCTCCTTTCTTTTCTGTTCCCTAATCCATCAAACGTATTAGAAGGAACACACCTTAACAATCCAGTCAAGCTGTTTTAATGACTTTTCTTAAACAGGAAATTTCATAGTTCTAGAAACTAAAATGTGTCAGCAGCATGCTAAAAAACTGTGTGCTTATATTTTGGTTAAGCTCGTTTTTATCATTAGTGTGTTTCAGATTGTACTCTATAAATCTAATTTGTAGATATAATCTCAGGGACCCACTAGCTTTGACATTGAAAAAAATCTCCTTTTCCATGCAAGGTAACCATGTAGTTAGCCAAGCAGGGTGGTGACCTTTGGCTCTATTTCTGCTTTTAGCCAATATCCCTGTGGTCATCTGTGATACGCCCCAGAAGGCAACAATGCTGATAGAGAACGTAGAAAAGAGCCTTACTCCTGGGCTGAAGACAATCATCCTCATGGACCCCTTTGATGACGACCTGAAGCAAAGGGGACAGAAGTGTGGAATAGAGATGTTATCCCTGTCTGATGCTGAGGTATGAACTGGAAACAGCTTGCAGCAGGAAGACTGATCTAGTCCTCATCAAGAGTGACTTGTAGGGCATCTACACCAAAGTATGGCTGTTGTCGTCCAAGGATGGCATGAGTCTGTAAATCAGACTCATGAAAAGAAGCTTGGAGAACAGTTTCTTCAAAACAATGACAAAAATCATGCCAGCGGTAGATGGGCTTCCTTGGCCAGGAGTGTGCTCTTCAGAATTTGGAACGAATGAATAGAGAGTTCAATAATAGCTATGAATCTGGTCCAGGTTGCCTGGGTTCCCATTCTAGTTCTGTATCAGCTAGGTGGCACATCTCTCTGTCTATAGAATGAGGATTAACATAGTCATAATCTCACAGAGGTATTTCAAAGAGTTAAATGAAGTAATATGCATAAATAGTTCAGGAAAGTGACTGGTCTGTTGTAAACCTTGACATGTTAACTTATTAGTATTATTCAAAAAAGGTTTAGTTATGGTTTTAGATGACTGAACTGTAAGAATATGGTGAGAAGTTTGGACACTTAAGATCTGCCTTCTCTAGTTAATGTTCTAGAGAGATTTTATGCTCTTTCCTGGTGCTTACACTGTACCTGAATATTGACTGCTGAGCCAATCTGGGCTAGAAGTTTGGAAGTATCCTCCTACAACAGGAAAAGGGAAAGTGAACTTGTTTCAAGGCTGTCCATTCTCAATGACTGTTTCTTTTTCTTGTTTCCTGTGCATTTAGAATCTAGGCAAAGAAAACTTCAAAAAACCCGTGGTAAGTTTTCTTACCAATGAATTCGAATTTGAGTTTTGCAATGGTCCACTCTCAGTTTGTGATATTCTAAGGCCCTTGTGATTCTCTTTCCAGCCTCCAAACCCAGAAAACCTAAGTATCATCTGTTTCACCAGTGGAACCACAGGTCAGTACCAAGGAGGCCTTGACAAAGCTCCCTTGCCATCCTCCCCCCAGGGAGCTAGGGATCAAGTCCTTGGCTATTGGTAGGCGGTACACATACCCTGCCACTAACCCTGCCTTCAGGTGCTTATGACCACTTTTGTGTGTGAGTCCCAAATAGGAAAAAAAAAAAACAGAAGCATAAGTAAAGAGATTTTCATTGAGCACACAGGGAGATGTTTACATGGTATGGATTTGAAGAATCTTAGTGGTGATGTTAGAATGCCAACTTTTCCCTCTTCCCTACCACTTCCTCAATTAGACAAACCACTGCTATGGTTTCATTAAGCCAGGTTACTCAGTGATGGTTCTCCATGGATGGTTCTGCCCTTAACCAGCATCGATATTTAGTAGAAGCCTTGGTCATTTTGTGTGGCTCAACCCAGCACACCAGTTTGTGAGGTTTATAGCAATATTATCACGTGATGCTTGGCATAAAATCTTCAGCACATGAACAGCACAAGAGGGATTTGTGTATATTTTTCTTTTTGACTCTGTTTCCATTTGAGATTGTGGCTGCTCTCTAAGTGGCAAGAAAAGTCGCTCTCTAAGTGGCAATGATGCAACTAGTAGAATTTCTGGGGCATTAATTGTTGCAGCTGTCCTGGGGCCCTCCGGGCGGGGGTAGAGTCCGTGCGGAGTCACGTCGCAGACTCCGGGAGTCAGGTGAGAAGCAGGGCAGTGCGAGCAGCTGCAGACTCGTTTATTGCGGATATGGGGCTCCCTTATATCCCCACTCCCAGTGCCCCACTGGTCCATTGATAGGTCGTGTCTGCTCTTCATTGGCTCTCTGTATCAGGCCATTTTCGCATCAGCCATCTCTATGTCTTTTGGCAGAACACAGGTTTGCCTCAGCAGGATGTTTTTGGTGCCTTTGCAGCCCACGCTGGTTGTTCAGGCCACACTTCCTCCTACAATTAATCATCCTAAGAAGAGGCATATATATCACAAAATGACACAGTGATAGGTCAAACTTTTGACTTTCTGGCACAGAAACAATTGAATCTAGCTTCTTTCAAGGCCAAAGACTACCAATTAGCCACACAAAGCTTTTCTCCATCTCGTATTTCCTACAGGTGACCCCAAAGGAGCTATGATCACCCACCAGAATGTTGTTTCAAACACTGCCGGTTTTCTCAAGTTACTGGAGGTCAGTGGTCAATTGTAAAAGAGGCCCTCTTTACAATGTGAATCCACTGTAAGATTTTTAATTATGGAAGTTAGAGGGGCAGAGAAAGTAGAAAATGTAGTTCAGGGCTTGCATTTAGGTACTTTTCTCCTTGGTGTGACAAATTAACCGACAAAGTAACTCAAGGAAGGAAGGGTTTATTTTGGCTTCAAGTTTGTGGGATACAGCCTGTCAGGAAGGGTCAGGTACAGTGGCAGTCAGCTCCATTGTGGCAGTGTGCATCTGGGATTCCTCACATCTTGGTGGAACAGGAAGCAGCAGAAATGAAGAGGAGCTGGACTATAAATGCCTCAAGGCCTGGCCCCAGTAACCCACTTAATCCAGTGAAACGCTACCTCCTGAAGGTTCCTTAACGTCTCAAAACAGCACCAGCAGCTGGGGACCAAGTGTTGAAACACATGAGCCTGTGGGGGACATTTTGCATATAAACCACATGCCAAGTTTGGAAGACACTATTATAGTCTTTGTCTCTAAGATTATACAATTCAAGCTTGGATTTTTAGGATAGTCATAAGTCTCTATATTCTATGTAGATCAAAGTAACTCAGAATTACAGGATGTACCAGATGGTGGGGAAGTTAAATACACATGCTGTGGAGTTCAGAAGTTTTGAGGATGATGTCAGGTTCTTCCTTTACCATACCACTATCCCAATTAGACATGCCACAGGATGGTTTCATCCACCTGGGGTTACTCGATGAAGAGTGAGGATGGTAGTTTTAGCATCTCTATTGGAAGAGAACATTACCACTCATCTGTTTCTGACTCCTTTTTGTTCCCTGATCTGCAGCCTACTTTCCATCCCACCTCTGAGGATGTGACCATATCCTACCTCCCCTTGGCCCATATGTTTGAGAGGATTGTTCAGGTGAGTGTCCTGTGTACTTAGCAGGTATGGGAGAAGGGGTTCCTGACTTGCTAGTCCCACAATTATTCAAAAGCCAGAGCTGCACAGCATTCTCAGTCCTTTTTACACTGTGTCAGGTTCAAGTGTGTAGTTGGCTCCTTTGAGTCTTAATTGTGGCAGCATCCTGTCTTGATTCAGGCCTTTCTTTGCTAAATCTGCATGCTGAAGGAGGCTAATACTTAACCCTAACCCTAACCCTGATTCCACAGAGTCCAATAAGTTCCCAGTCTTGTACTTACTGTCTGTGATCTCTTAATCCCAATCTGACTCACAAGACATTGTCTCCTTTTTGACTTCTATGTTGGTTAGAGTTTTGAAAGGCTCTAGAGTTAGAGAAAAGGAAAGACTCTATAGGGGGACCAGTAAAGGAACATACATGTGTAAGGTTGTATTCCCTGGCATGATATGTGTGACCAAGGAGGGATTGTTGTTCTGGGAGTTGTTTCCAAGTTTTCTAGCTATTCTGAAAGTGATTTGAGAATAAAAAATCAGCACTGGGGGCTGGAGAGATGGCTCAGCAGTTAAGAGCACTGGCTGCTCTTGCAGAGGACCTGGGTTCGGTTCCCAGCACCCACATGACAATTAACAATCAATCATCTGTAACTCCAGTTCCAGAAGATCTGATGCCCTCTTCTGACCTCACAAGCAATACACTCATACAATAAAATAAAAATAAAATAGAATAATAATTTTTTAAAGCAACACTAGACTTTCATAAACATGGGTAGTATGGTGGGAAGGTCTTCTTTTTGACCTCCCCTGCTCCTGAATACCTCTTCACCCAGTGGATGATTAGTTGGTACACAAAATGCCAAAATGTGAGATTCAGTTCACTGGATTAAAGGCTTTAAATATGATTCATTGAAAGTTTTTTTCTTAGAAACTTTTACATGTATTTTAGTACTTCTGAAATTGGGAAGGTCTTAACAGTTGAAGGCATGTTTTCCTATTTTAACTAGCAATGTTTTTTTCTTAGTGCCACACGATGAGCAGTTTCTTATGAAGGATGGTGTCTTGGACTGACACACAGACCTGTGGTGGAGCTAGAGGGTGGGGTCTGTCTTATCTGTCTTGCCACCTCAACAGTAATAAGTTTCCATCCTTTCTTTGTGGAGGTTCTCAGAGACCTGGGTACCTAAGTTGGTAGGAAACAAGTGCTCCCTCCATTGGAGGGAGGCCCCACCGACAGTGGCTGTGGCTCTGAGCCATGTCTTTCTATTTCTTTCAGGCTGTCCTATTCTCCTGTGGAGGCAGAGTTGGGTTCTTCCAAGGAGATATCCGGTTACTGCCTGATGATATGAAGACTTTGAAGCCCACGGTGTTTCCCACAGTGCCTCGACTCCTTAACAGGATCTATGATAAGGTATGAGCCTTGTGTGTATTGGAATTATCCTGAAAAGGAGGAACCTCTGTGATCTAGACCCACACAAGCCTCTGAGAGACTACATCCTGCCAAGAAATGAGCTCCACCCCATCCAGCCTCTAAGTATCTACATAAGCCATGATACAACTGTTGCTGTGGGGAGCCATAATAAATGCCCCTCCTTTTTCGGTAGATAGTGTTGCTGATGTGAGGAAGAACTCCACAAAGTACTGGAAAGTTCTTACTCTTATGCACGCCTATGATTTAGCTTCTTGCTAAGGTGCTAGACCATGTGTTAATTTCAGATGTGTTCTATCATTTAACCCTTGCAAAAACAGTAAATCACACTTTTTCAGGGAACTTTAGTGATGAGGAAACAAGCCTTGGAAATTGAAGAACTTGTACAGAGTCATATCTAATAAGGGAAGGAACTGGAATCAGACTCTCACATGGCCACTTTAGCTGTCATGGAGAACTGTTCACTGGGGTTTGCAAAATGGTGACTTTCTTAGTTCTAGTTTTGTTGTCCTTTCTGTATTCCTTAGCTGACATTCTACCATAAAGACCTAATGGGTATTTTATCTTCCCCTTGATTTATTACTCTTCAGAATAATGATGTCATGCTCTAGAAATCTTTGAAAGTGGCCAGTGAAGAATTTTTTTGTGTTATTATGAACATATCCTTATATTTCAACAATTCTTTTCATATTCAAATTGTGCCTATCAAATTGCTCATGTGTCTTTTTGGCATGACCTTAGTAGACTTTGATAGTTTCCTTGCTTTCTAACATAGCAGGATAACCTAAGCTCGCTTGTCTCTTTCTTACCCAAGCCTTAGATTGACTAATTTCTGCAAGTTGCCATTCAGAGCTGTGATTTGAAGCCAGGCAATATAGTAGTGCCTGTATATTCCTTAGATTTGGAGCCCTGAGGAAATAACACCATTCTTCATATGCTTTGGACTCTACTTCTGAGATTCTGGCCTTGCCATTTACTCTTACCACAGGCCAAACTGGGCTCTAGTGAGAGAGGATGGTGTTGTAGAACATAGATGATGTGTGGACAGTGGAAGCCCTGTAGACAGTTCTGACGTCTCATCATACTATGAAATCGTTAGAGCTGGTTGTTAGGGTTTTTGCTTGTGTTATTGAACTTCTTTATTTTTGAGAGGTAGTACTTTAAACTATTATAATGATACATAATTTTCATCTGGAGCCTATTTCTTAAATGGAGGATTTTATGAGTATGAATCACTGTTATAGCTTTTTGTCACTGACTTGTTAGGAAAGCCAGTCTTGTGAATGTCAGAGAAAGGTAAATAAATTGCTTGTGTTTGAGAGAGGCATCAGGCCTGAAATGATGCAGGTAGCATTTTGTGTATCTTATAATCAGATGGCAAAATATTGGTAAATGATATCATAAGCATGAGTAGATGCCCACAGCCTAGAGCAAAGTTTGAATTAGAAGGGGAGAATTAGAGAGCTGGAGAGATGGCTCAGCAGTTAAGAGCACTAGCTGCTCTTGCAGAAGACCTGGATTCAGTTCCCAACACCCACATGGCAGTGACAACCATCTGTAACCGGTATCTCCAGTTCCGGGGGGGGGGGGGGGGTCCAATGCCCTCTTCTGGCCTCTGTGGGTACTGCATACATGTGGTATACTTACATACAAGCAGGCAAAAAACCTCTACATATAAAAATAAATTTTTTAAATGTGAGAATTAACAGTCCTGGTTGTCTGAGGCCCATAAATAGAAATATAAACATAGACAATGGCCAGAAAAGTATTCTTCAAATTTTGAACTGAGAAGAATTTCATTTCCCTTAAGTGTAACGTCCAGGACAGTGAAGTCTTAAGGTTCAGGCTTAATTTTGGAAATAAAGAGATTCATTTGTGGTATACCTAGGGAAACTCTTCTCAGAGAGGAGTGTGGTTGGTAGACCACAGAGTCATTATGAAAAACAAGGAAATAATGTGAGCTGGGAAAAATTTTATCAGTTGGTTAAGCCCAAAAGGGAGCAGTGATGTAAATAAGAAGATCTGTTGTATTTTGGGTTTTTGTTTGTTTGTTTGTTTCTTGGTCTTTTTGAGACAAGGTCTCCCTGTAGCCCCAGCTGTCCTGGAACACACATGAAGACCAGGCTGGCCTTGAACTCACAGAGATCTGCCTGCCTCTGCCTCCCAAGTGCTTGGACTAAGAGAGTATGTTGCCACACCTGGCCGGGATTTTGTATTATGTAGTTAAAAAACATTCATCATAGAGAAAGATGGCAATTCTCCAAGTTTGGTGGATGCAAAAATGTCATCAAGGCAGAAGGTGGCAGTACTCATTTTGAAAAGTCAAATCCTTCTCTGGCCTACTAAATAAAAAACTGTGTGTGGGGGTATGCATTGAATTATTTCTTGATGTTTTTGTCTCTCCAGTCTTAGATCTGATTTTTGTTTGTTTGTTTGTTTGAGTTAGGGTCTCCCTGTAGTCCCAGCTGGCCTGGAACTTGTTATATAGACCAAGCTGGCCTCAATCTCAGAGAAATCCACCTGCCTCTGCTGGGATTAAAGAAATATGTCACCACACCTGGCTTTTGATCTGATATTTTAACCAGTGATGTTGTTGGTACCATCTTTCTTGATTGCCGTTTGTTTACATGAGTTGTCTAAGTTGTTTCCCTGGGGACCAGGAGTCTGGGAGGTAGGTCTGGAACTCTACATATATTTAGCAACTTCGCTTGTTCCTGAGTATGGTCATTATTCCTAGATTCAATGTTATTCAGCTACCCAATTCTTACGAAGCTAGGAGTTGGCATCTCTTGCTTGCTAGCAAATAGGCTTAGTAAGTGTCTCTAGCAGATTTTCAACTAAGTGGAGCTGTCATCTTCCAGGTACAAAATGAAGCCAAGACACCCTTAAAGAAGTTCTTGTTGAACCTGGCTATCGACACTAAATTCAATGAAGTGAAAAATGGTATTGTGAGGCGTGACAGTTTGTGGGACAAGCTCTTCTTTTCAAAGATCCAGGTAAGTTGCATGGATCTTGAACAGAGCCAGGCAAACACCAGGGCTGCCCACTAACCAGCATCTGCTTCTCTTTCTCTCATGTTTAGGTGTCAGAAATTCTAACTGCAGATCTTCATAGATTTTCTATTCATGCTCACTTTTTTCTTTTTCTCTTTTTTCTGTTTTATTATTATTATTAATTTTATGCATATGCATGTATTGTCTGCATATGTGTAAGTGCCCATAGAAGTCAGAAGAGGGCATCGGATTCCCTGGAATTGGAGTTATGCATGGTTGTTAGCCGCCATGCTGGGAACTGAACTCAGGTCCTGTGCAAGAGCAGTCAGTGCTCTTAACCACTGAGCCATCTCTCCAGCCCCCCTTTTCTTTCTTTTTTTCTTTTCTTTTTTTTTTTTTTTGTGTGTGTGTGTGTGTGTGCGTGTGTGATGCATGTACATGTAGGGGTTAGAGGACAATTTCAGGCATCAGTCTTCTACTTTATTTGAGGCAGAGTTTGTTGTTCACTGCTGTGCAGACCAGGCTATATGGCTCGAAAGCTCCCAAGTATTCTCTGTGTGCACCATAGAAGAGAGCTGGATTTCAGATGTGCACTACTGCATCTGACTTTACGTGGTTCTGGGACTCTGAACTCCAGTCCTCACATTTGCATGGCAAGTGCTCTATCCACTGAGCCATCTCCCAGAAACACCCCCCCCAAGTCACCTTTGGAGACCATTCTTACACAGCTTTGCCACTAAGGAGAACTGGTCAAAAAGCATAAAACAGAATTGATGTAGATGTTAGTGCTGTATTTTCTTACTCTGTTCTGTTCAGTTTATAAGTCATTCAAATTATTTGAAGAATTTTTTTAAAATGCAAGTTCTGGTCCCAGGTATGGATGGTGATGATGCTAATAGGTGACAATTTAAATGCTTTTCTATATTTCCAGACCTTAGTCTAAGTGCTTGTGAGTTAACTCCTTTCATGCTAACACCTAGGCATACTGTTATACCCATTTTACAATGGAGGAAAGGGAAGTCACAAGAAAAGTTTTCAACAGGTCTTTTGTTTCTACCAAACAGGACAACCTGGGTGGGAGGATTTGCCTCATGATCACTGGAGCTGCCCCCATTTCTGCTCCGGTCTTGACATTCTTCCGGGCAGCATTGGGATGTCCGGTAAGAACTCACTTTTCCATAAATAGAGCTCATTATTTAAATAAAACTGAAACTATAAATGAAAAGTAGCAGAGACTATCACCCCAAATCTTAAAAACAAGAGAAATACCACACCAGTCAGTTCATGCATCTGCATATAGAAATCTTTACATAAGTGTGTTCTGCACCCCCATGGCACAGTGCTCCACCCACATTGCTCCTTGTCAAATGAAGATTAACATCATTTTAATAGTTTCACAACAGCTTGTTGAATGCACTCAGTCCACTATTGGTAGAAACGTTGCTTGCCACTTTTACACTGTTGTAATTGATGAAATGATAAGGGGACTTGTGTATGCTTTAGTATTTATGCAACTACCAGTTTAGAATAAATCCATGAGGGTAAGGATTATTGGGTCAGTGTATGTGTGTGTGTGCATTAGTGTGGCCACAAACATATCTCTGTATTACATGTTTTTCAAATTTTTAGCCAGACATGGTGGCACACGCCTTTAATCCCAGCACTAAGGAGGGAGAAGCAGGCAGATCTCTGTGAGATCGAGGCCAGCCTGGTCTACACAGTGAGTTCAAGGACAGCTGGGTTACAGAGAAACCGTGTATGTGTGGGATGTGTATTATGTGTGGTGGAGGAAGACAACCTAGTGGGGTTGGTTCTCTCCTTCCATCATGCAGGTCCCAGAGATTGAACTCAATTCACCAGTCTTGGCAGCAATTGCCTCTGCCCACTGAGCCATCTTGCCAGCTCTGTATATTATATATTAATATATACCACCAAAATTTCAGGAAGCCCTTGTTTCTTACATATGTTCCTTCAAATAATACCCGAGGTATCATTTCCAACACTCCTTCAAGTAATACCTGCAGTGTCATTTTCCACACTCTTGTCAGTGACAGGCTTTTTCAGTCATTTAAACCATTGCCAATTTTCCACCTCTTATTTCATGCTGTTTCTCTGAACTTTTCTTATACAGCTCTTTGATACTTGCTTTTCTTCCATGGGTCATACTATTACTTCCTGATAGAAAATGGGTAAAGGGTTATCCAGTTCTCTTGCATAATGCTGAGTTCTTCATGTAATACAATTAATCTTTGCTATGCTACTTTTTTCCTGGTCCAGTTTTTTCCCTTTGTATTGTGTACTGCTATATAAAACCTTCAAATATTTATGCAGACAATCGACGAATGTTTTCTATTTGCAAATTTTGAATTGCTTAGATAGAACTTCCTAATCTTCATTATTTCCTAAGACTGTATCCACTTTTTCTGATAATCTTATCATTTTATGGGTTTTTTTTTCATTTATGCCTCCATCCATCTGCAATGTTTGGACCTGGGTATGGATTTTTTTCTCCCCTCTGCCAAATGGATAACTAGTTTACCCATTCAACTATCCATATACAGCATGAATAAGACAAAAAGGGGGCACAGGGCTAGCCTCACAGAGAATGTTCCCTATCCATGTACCCACAATCCAAAAAGACTGAATTAATACCAGAGTCAGGCACAGGGGTCTTCTGGGTTTTCAAACTACCGCCATCTTGGCCACTCTTAATATTCCCTGCCCCCTGAGCCCCAAAGACTAGTATATCAGAAAGTCTTGCTCTTACCCTCCCCCAGAAATGTCTTCTTTACATCTTTCTCTTTAAGTCTACCAACCTTGCCTATCACAGACCACATCCACCATTGCAGTAGCCTATCAGCTTGCTTCCTATCACCAGCCTCTTTCTGGTTAACATTATCTTCTCTACCTGGGGGTCAGCAGATTTCAGTCCTGTCTACATTCCCCTGCCCCCACCTGCTTTCTAGTTGAAATTTTACTGGAACACAGTCATACCCATTCACTGGTATGGGGTCTGTGTCTGTTTTCATACCACACTGGCAAAGTTGTTGAGTCAGAAACCAGATGGCTTGCAAAGCTGAAAATATTTTATCTTGCCCTGTGCAGAAAGTTTGCCAGCCCTTTTGTCTTTATCAAGGCTGGAGCTATTTTCCTTAAGAAGCGTGCCGCCCCCTTTCTTAGTTTCTTCAGAGGTGCGCAGTTGCTGAGGTTCAAGTCCAGTGGTCACGGGTTGCATACAACTTAATGAGTAATTTGCATTTCTCTACCTACTTGATAGGACGTATTTTTTTTTATGTGGGTTTCTGTACTTTGGTCTATTTCTGAATGCTTTTTTGTTTTTGAATGAACCCACAGTGGTGAAGAACTGACAGGTGGGAATGCTTTCAAGATTTTTCAAAACTGTCTCTAGCCCTTGTTTCTCCACTGTTTTCCTAAGTTTGCCATAAGGCATGGTCAGCCATATTTTATCTTGAGTAAGTCTCAAAGCTCCTCTTTGGTTTCCCAGGTGTTTGAAGCTTATGGCCAAACAGAATGCACAGCTGGATGTACAATCACATCACCTGGGGACTGGACAGCAGGTAGGTTTTTCCATCTGCTGGTTGGGAGAAGTGTTTGAACAACTACAGTTTAGGAGTGAAGGGCAGATAATGTCAGTATTCTGCATAAATGTGGCAAATGCCAAACTCAAGTCCTATTTTTCACCTTTTTTTTTTTTTTTTTTTTGGTCTTTTTGAGACAGGGTCTCCCTGTAACCCGAGCTGTCCTGGAACTATGTAGACCAGGCTGGCCTTGAACTCAAAGAGATCCACCTGCCTCTGCCTCCCAAGTGCTGGAACTACAGGTGTGCACCACCACGCCCGGCTCTATTTTTCACTTTTAAAGTTGATCCATAAATATCCATAAATATATATGCTTGATTTATGGTCTCTCAGCCAAGAATGTCTGGTATGTTCTAGGTCACGTTGGGACCCCCGTGGCTTGCAATTTTGTGAAGCTGGAAGACGTAGCTGATATGAACTACTTCTCAGTAAACAATGAAGGCGAGGTGGGTAGGTCATGCCCTGTAGTCAGAAAAACATGGTGGGGAGGCTTGGTTCAAAAAGAACATAAAGCTGTGAGCCGCCTTGGGTTTGACTCCTTTGAGGCCCTTAGCAAGGAATAAAATATCTGTGAGCTGCATTGTCCTATAACAAGGGCTAAAAGGATCTCCATACTATATTGGAAACCATCATGGAATTGTGTGGGAACAGGTGTTTTAGAAGATGAATGTAGCAGCCTCTGCTATTCCCCCCACCCCACCCCCTTGTACTATCTGGTTCACAGATCTGCATCAAAGGCAACAATGTGTTCCAAGGCTACCTGAAGGACCCTGAGAAGACACAGGAAGCATTGGACAAGGATGGCTGGCTTCACACTGGCGACATTGGTCGCTGGCTTCCTGTGAGTATTTCTTCATGACTTCAAGGAGTCTCTGCTATGACGCTGGACAGAATAATCTGCCTATTGCAAGAGGGCTTAATGTAAGGAGGTTAGTCATCTGAGGCAGCTGCAGGAGACTGTATGTTTCTTGTTTGTGGGCCCCTCTTATTGTAAAGAGAAGAGAGTAACCACTGGAAGAGCTTAGACTGGGAGTTGGCAGATCTGTGATCTAGTCCTAGCTCTTCTGTAGACCAAAAGCATGAAATCCTGGGGGGGAAAGGTTAATGTGTGATTTGGAGCAGCCAAAGATAGTCTTTCTTCCTCTAGTCTGGAGTACTTTGGTTATTTTATCCACAATGTTATAAAAACACTAGGATGTGAACCAATTGAAGAGCTTTCTTCCTTTCGTATTTCTTACCAAATACAATGTGTACAGTAGCCAGTGGTACTGATGCTGTGTCCAGATACAACCCTGAAGTGGGGTGCTTTCCGCTCAGATAGTCCTGGACCTCAGTGTTATCATGGTCCTCAAAGAGAAAAGATTTGCTTGTGGCCAAGGAACAATTAGGTGACTTCTAGGAAAGAGGTACAGTGTTCTGGTTTTAAAACTTTCTTTTTCCTCACTTTATTGAAATAGAATTGTGGTATGTGCCCACCAGTTGTTTTTACTATTGAGAATTCCAAATGGGTGTTTCTTTATAGTTAACTCATGGAGACATCAAGACAAGTGAGAGGCTAACATCAGCCTCTCAATGACCATGGTAGCTTCTCTTTGTGGAAGGCTTTTTATACCTCGCCCTGCTGATGAACAATTAGCACCCTTTGCTTTCCATCTCATCTGTTTTTCTGGGAAGAAATAATACTTGATAGTGATGGAGACTTGACCCCCTAGGATAATTTCCCAAAGGGTCTCCCTTCTCAAAGATTTTACCTACTATGTGTTAGGGGAGGAGGACTGTAACGACATCTTAAAACTCCTTTCTTGCTCAATTTTATTCAAGATTTCTGAGAGATTCAAAGAATGCCTGACTGTGACCCTCCTGCCCCCACCCCCAACAGGGTCCTCATGATGTACTTTATTGATTTTGGTTTAACACATTTCTGTTTTATCAGTGTTCCTGTTCTTATAAGTCTAAGAGGCTGTAAGTATGGCCCCTCGCGAGGGTTTAAAAAAAAAACAACATTGATTATTAATCACTTTCAGATAATGTTAGGCTGTATTTGCCCCTTGTCCCAATTCTTCAATTCAAATCCCTAAGAAGATAAGCTCCTCAGAGAAATTAAATTCAGGGGAATGAAGCAGGAAATGGCCTCTGATGGCTGGTCAGAGCCATCCCCAGCCCTGTTTCTGGCCTAACAAGCCCAGTTACCAACAAGTCTGATTAGTAGCATGCAGCTGTTTTAGCTGGCTCCTGGATTTAACAGGAAATAAATCTAACAGAATTAAGGACAGGGAAAGCTAACTCATTTAGCAATCTTGTAAAAGACAACACTTTCTCCATTCCTCAGAGTTCTGGAGATGGGAGTCATTGGAAATCATTTATTAGAAATTGAGAACTTCCAAAGTTCTTCATTGGATGAGGCCAGCCCAGGCCTGGGACTGTCCCTGAGGCTTGTCCGTTGGTTTTCCACAGACAGGCTCATTGTGGAAGACATTTCTTTCTCTCAAGCCAAGAAACAGAAAGGTCAAACTTCAGATTTCTCTAGGGAAATCAGTTTTAAACAAGGACCATCCCTCCCCTCCCCACTGACACCATCTCTAGGGCTCTGACATGCTGATTCTCTCATCTGCCTCATGCAGAATGGAACTCTGAAGATCATTGACCGGAAAAAGAACATTTTCAAGTTGGCACAAGGAGAATACATTGCTCCAGAGAAGATAGAAAACATTTACATCAGGAGTAGACCGGTGTCACAAGTGTTTGTTCATGGGGAGAGCTTGCAGGTAATACACCGATTTCAGTCATTTTCAGAGGCAGCCCATGTTAGTTCTATAGCTACAGGAAATTCTATAGTGTTCGAGATGAAGAATGCATTTATAAAACCAAAGACAAAGCTACGATTCTGAATCATAAACACTGATGAAGAAAAATAATTTTTTGAAACTATAATTGAATATTGCAAGCAGGTTGCTAGAATTATTAAAACTGTTTTAAAAGGTTGCTTTTATCTCACATGCTTGGTGCCCTTAGTGTCTACTCTTGTAGGAGTTTCTCTGGCACGCGTACACACACACACACACA